TCATGCGAGCTAAGGGAAGGAGAAGTTTAGGACCTTAAATAGGACAGCCAAGAGAGGCAATGCTGAGAGAGAGACATTGGCAAGAAGATGGTAAGGGAAAAAAGAAGAGAGGAAAGTGTTGTTTAGGGAAGAACATGCTAAATAAAAGGTGCCTTATATTTGGCATGGCTTAGGAGGAAATGCATGGCACACTGATGGAACAGGACAGAAGTCAGTATGGTGATTACACAGCAATAGGGGTAGAGTGTCAGTGGAGAGCGAAGAGGAAGAAATCAGAAGGTACTACCTTAGTGTGGAAGGACGTTGATTTCACGGAGCTCATGGTAAGAATTTTTTCCTTTACTGTGAAACTTTTCCATGAGGAGCAGTAGGACCTGTCTTACATCTTGGTAGTATTCCTTCGGCCAGTATAGGAGCCAAATTCAGGAGGGAGGCAAGGATTTGGGAAGCAGAGCAAGGCACTAAGAGGTACAGGAATGGTCCTGGGGAGAAAGGGTAGAGCCTTGATCTGGGCTGGTCAGATTGGGAGAGATAAAAGCACAACTTTTTTGGATTTTTTGAGTGGGGTGAAGGATGCGGATGAGAAAGAAAGAATTAAGGTCTGAGCACTTCAGTGGCCTCTTGCTGAGAGAAGGAGAAACTGAGTAAAGTAGGTGTGGGCAAGGGCCATTGCAGAAGTTATACAGGGACTCCTCTATTGAGAGAGGATGGCAGCCAACAACAGCACCCTAGCCTTGAAATCTTTAGAAGGATATGGCTTGCCTAGCAAGACTTTCAGTTTGATCTAAGTAGAACCCATTCCAATCACTATTTTTCTTTTCCTTCGTATATTACTATTTCACATGTTCATGTCATAAATTTTTATTGAGGGTCCAAAGTGCACCAAATATGGTAGTGCAAGGACACAGGGACAGCAAGAAATTTTGGTCCCATATTTACAACCTAGAGGGGAAGCAATGAATCCCTGATTATGCTAATTCATCCACACCTGTATAGATACAATAAAGCAAAACAATGACCATTCCATAAAGAGAAGTGTTGGGAAACTAAAGTGACTTCTCCACAGTTGAAAAACTGGGGAGAGATCAGGTAGGAACACAAACACAAGTTGCCTCCATCCTGAATCCACACACTTATTGTCAATGGAATGGTCAAGACAAGCTGCACTAGTCAATAGATACAGAACACAAGGAGCCAGTGAGCACGAAAACTTGGTTCAGGAAGTCCTGATTCAGGAACAATCTCTCAGTTCTATGAAACAGGTTTTGGGCCAAATGATCTCTACAGCCTTCTCTGACTCTACAATGTTGATTCTATGATGTTCATGCATAGCACATGGAGGAAAGATGTAAGAATCCAAGATGTAAGATATAAGACCAAATCCAAACTTATCTTATTCCACAGTCTACCCAAACTCAGGCTGGGAAATGCAGAACCCTGTCCATGGCTGCCCTGTCCTCTGAAGTGATATGAGAAGGTCGAAGGAGCCAGGCGAGCAGGGCCATGGCCAGTGGGACCCTACCCTGAGACAGGGCCGGTGGGGTCAGAGACACCAAGAATGAGAGAGGACTGGAAATCCCAGGTTAGCAGATCCACTAAGTTTAGATGTCCTAGGCACATGCTTTCCTACCCAGTCTGGAATGGGGCTGGCCTTTGAAGCGATTCTGGGAAATAGCAACCCTCCATCTAGGCCCCAATTTTCTCTTTGGCCCCCACACCTGAAAAAAAGACAGATATATCATTCTTAAACTTATTTATTGATAATCCTGCACACCTATAATCTCATTATTTCTGTATTCTTCATTTCCAAATTAAAGTTTAGTCTCCCAGAAGTAACTTGTCAAATCTGCAAGATTCATTTTGGGTCATTTTATGTAATAGAAATTTCAGTAACAACCCAAATCAAATACCCACAGCAGAAGAAGCATTTTAGTGTTTGCCTAAAGGATTTCTACATTTAGCTACTTTTGTTTTTAGTGCTGATTTACAGGTACTTAAAAGATACAATTTTTAAGCCATCATACATAGCCCAAAATCACAATACTCTTCCTAAGACTGTGATAATGGCCCTGACACATCTTCAAAATGCCCAAGAATTAAAATTAAGGGTTCATTCCCCCTATTCATTAATTGCAAATTACATACTAAAGTAGTGACCTTAACCAACTGAGTACAACACCCAAAATAAAACAGTATTGTGCATCGACATAATCAGATGTTTTAAAGCCTATTTAATCACTTCTGCATTGTAAATAACCTTATTTTGTAATTAGGGGGAAAAATGAGTTTTACATAAATTCTAGAATAATTCCAAGTCCAATGGCACTAAGAAACTGCTAATAACTTAAATCTAGAATCAGTGCCTATAAACCCAAATGTGATATCAAATTATTATCATTGGGATAAACACCAAGGAGGCCAAGCAAAGTAAGCAGTTCCATTGTACACATAAGAACAACATGAATGTTTATTTTATATCTGGCAAATATATAAAATATATATATTTTATATCTGGCAAAAATAACAAAACATATCAATTAAGTGAGTTGTATTCTTGCATTTTACTACTTTGAATGCAGTGAACTTGAACTCAATTCATTAAGCTAAGGTGAGTTATACATGTTTGTTCTTCAGTGATTAAATATGTGAATACTAAATCAAAATATTCCTATAATGTTTTAATTACATGTTTAAATGTTTCTAAGGGATATAAATGTGCACACATGTTGATTAACTCACTACAATTGGATGTTGAAGAAATTGATTTTTATTGTAGCGTATCCTTTCTCCACAATAATGAGTCTCACTCCCCTGGCCCTGGAGGAGCCTCCAATGTGGCACTTGCTAAAATCTCACGGCTAGGAGATGTTACTGGTGCCTGCTCGAGGTAATCAATGAACAACGGGATGACAGTTACAGTGATACAGTGATCCTTTCTCCACACTGCTGTACTACTCTAGACACATGCAAATTATCATACTATCAATGTACCTAATGAGCGTGTCATTATGACCTCCACCATAAATTAACAGTGTCTACTTTTCAAAACTTGTGATCTAACTACCCACAGATATTTCAGACACAGAGAACTGAGTTGGGTGATGATGTCCATAGCACAGAAATGGAAGGCCAAGATATGCTTGCAAATAACACATAGTTTCAAATTTTTATATATCCAACCTTCTTTTCTCTCTTGTCTTCTCAAGCTTCCTCTTTTTCTTTTCCTCCCATGTCATTAGTTCTTCTTTATACATTTCCCAAACACAGTATTACAATGCCCTTCAAGAAACTTTACCTTGATGAATAATCCATTCATTCATTTCTTCGTTCATATAACACCCCAGTTGCTGACCTACTGTGTGCCTGACATAATGCTGGACTCTGGGCATGGAGGATGGATGATAATGTCCTTCCTTCAGCGAGCACTACATAAAGGGGGGTGAATCAGGAGTGAGGCCTCTGGGAGAAATGAAGAAAACCAGCCCTTTGCTGTCAAATACCCATTTTCCCCACCTTGTCTCCAGATCAGTTCTTTTACCAACCGTCTGCTTCTAGAAAGCTTGGGTCGGAGACCACATACCAACCTTTCGGACTGAACCATCATCTAACACAATGCCTGGCACAAAATCGTATTTGGCATGAATGAATTTAGGTAAATAAAATGCAATAATCAGAAGCTGGATCCAGTTCAATGGGCTGAGCACGAGTTCTGCACTCGTAGCACCACGTGGTCCACAGCACCACCTAAGTATAGGGCCGGGAGGAGTCTCTCAGCATCGCCAAGTGTAGCCAAAGAAAGAAAAATAATTGAATAATCAAGTGTGCACGCACTTGGTGAATGGCTTTTAAAATAGTAGTAAGTCCAATGAAATTTAACGAGCTATCTACCTGTCCTCCGCAAAGGTGGCCTTTAGTACCAGAGGCTGAGCGGGTTTCCACTTCCTTAAGCACAGACAACGCTGCTCTGGAAAAGAGGATCTAAAAATCCCATCCTTTCCTCTCAAATTCCCCGAGAACCGCCGCAGGCGAGCAGAGGTGGGGCTGACCCGCTGCGCCCCCGCTGCCCTCTGCGGGGCGCTGCTGCGCGCGGAGCGAGGCTTCCAGGAACTTTTCTCCTTCCCCAGCAGAAGTTTGGGCAGCTCGAGAAGAAAAAGCTCCTTGGGGAGCCAGGGAAGAGAGCAGAGAAGCCGGGAGAACCAGAGAGCAATCCCGGTGTCGCCCGGCCCCCGCGACACCACCTGGCGACTCCGAGCACCCGCGGCGGCGCGGGGACCACTCGATCGCCATCGGAGAAGCGCCCCAAGACACCCATGACCCTCCCGAGACAGCCACGGTGGCGCCCCGGAGCGTCCCACCCGCCCCCACCTGGGATCGTCGAGGGGAACATCTCGGAGGACCCCAGCTTCCCTTTCCCAGCCCCGGGGTCCGAATTCTAAGCACCATCCAGCATCGCCGCCTTAGGTCGCCCACCCTCTCCACTGGCCCGCTGTGTACCAGCCCGACCAAGAGCGCGACATCCCCCCCCCCACCCCACACACAGAGCACAGCCCCGAGTACGAAACCAGCCTAGAGCATTCTTTTGCACCCCCTTTCCTACCTCTGCCACCCGTTTCCAGGCTCACCCCTCCCGGGGTGGGGGTAGGGGTGCACTCCAAGGTCACCTGAACAGACCGGACGGTCCCCACCTTCAGTCTCCCCAGAACCCTCCCTTAATAACACTCCAGGGACCAGCTTCTCCCTGCGCCCTCAGTCCAATTGGGGGGCGGGAGGGGGGTCTCCTCCTTTGGGTACCTCTTCACCTCATCAGGACCCCTCCCGGCGTTGTGCCCCGCCCGGCCGGTCCTTGCACCTCCCCTCTGGGAACGCTCACTTTTTCTCTGGGCCGAGGCTCCCTCGAAAGTCAGCCCTAGGTACCCTTCGAGAAGCCGGGGAGCAGAGGTGCCTCCCACTCGCTCCGGGGGAGCGCCCAGGAAAGCCACGCAAACTTCTGCTGCACTTACTTTGGGCCGAGGCTGCCGCCCCCTCGCCTCTCCTCGCTGTCCCTGAAGCGGCAGCTCCGCGGCGACCCGGGGGTTGGGCGCTGGCATCCCCCAAAAGCGCTCGGCTGTTAACTGCGCCAGAGCTGGGGGCTCCGGGCCGAGCGCGCCCGCGGCCGGAGTCCCGGGGCCGAGGTCGGGCCGCCTCCCGGGATGCTGCGTCGGTCGCCGCGCGCCCCGCTCCGCCGCCCGCTCCTCGGCGTCCGAGTTGCAGTTTCAGTTGCCAGCCAGGACTGCAGCGCCCGCTCAGTCCTCCCCCGAAAACGACTTTCAATTCACCTGGAGGCTCGCGCGGCGCCCCCGCGGGCGCGCAGCGTGACAGCGGGTGCAGAGCCGAGGGAGGAGCGCGCCCGCCGCGGCGGCCCGAGTGCGCCTCCAGCTTCCCGGGCGAGGAGCGCGCAGCCTTCTCCAGCCGCTCTCCTCGGGACTGCAGTCCTGACGTCACCCCGCCCCCCACCCCCACCCCGCGGAGGGTGGGGTGCGGGACGCCGGGAGGTGGGGGTGTGAGCGGGCGTGCAAGCGCGCGCGCGCGTGTGTGCGTGTGTGCACGGGCGCGCAGGGGCCCCGCCGGGCTGCGTACCCGTCGCCACCGCAGCTGGCTGCTGCCGCGAGCCGGCCAGCGAGCTCTCAGGAACGACGAGCGTCCAGGGGTGGCTGCCGCCAACAGCCGGGGGCGCTCGCCTCTCGATCGGGGCGGGACGCCGAGTTTGGTGGCGACCCCGAGCCTGATTCGGCTCAGTGGGGATGGTTGAGAGCAGGAGTTGGGTACGCGCCCCAAAGTTGGAGAGTGCCCTCAGTGCTTTGAAGCCGCTACCCACGTGGCGTCGGAGGAAGGTGGAACAGCCGGCGCGGTCGAATGGTTTGCATGCGCCTGCGGGGAGTGAGGATGGGGCGCTCTCGGGGAACTCCGGGCTTCCACTCTCGCCGCAAGGTCCCGGGAGCAGAGGCGCGGCAGTGCGCCCAAGGGCACCCTTCCGTGACTACGGGAAGTCACTGCAAAGGGATGGGAGGGGCTGGACCTTCTACACCCAAGTCTGCCCTGCGCGAACCTGGGAGAGTGTCTGCCAGAAGCTGGGCAAAAGTCTCCCCACCCACCTCCCCGAAACGAGCAAGAGGTCACGGCCGGAGCGGGACTTCAGACGCGCCCCACCACGCCCTTGCGTAGCGGTTTCGGGGCCTCCAACTCCGAGCAGAGTTCCTTGAGATTAGCCGGCCGAGGCCAGCGTCTGAGTGCGCCCGAGTCTGAACCCACGCCCGGCCCGATTGTCCAGACACTAAGGAGCCACTCGAGCTTGCTCGTTCACTGAAATTGTCCTGGGGTTGCTAAAATCGACTTTCTGTAGAGCCACCAAATGAAGGGTCTGGAAGAGGTTCTGAGTCGGCGATCGGTTGTTTCTGGAGCGTGGCGACCCACCCATCTCTGGCTTGGAGCGTGCGACGGGAGGGTCAGCGGCGCTCGGCCGCTTCGCAGTCTCAGGTCACACGCAAGGCGTCGGGCGTGCGCCGCCGTGACCGCAGGAGAACTCAGCAGTTTTGTCCGGGTCGAGTGGCTGGCCGTGGTGGTCAATCTGCACGTATCTTCCTTCCCGAATGCAAAACGCTGTTATCTGCAATTCCCGTGATTCATGAAAATCCTTGAATTGGAAAAAACGATGGGGGTGGGGGGCGGGACGCGGAAGGGCACAGACCCTCCTGTGTGCATCAACACTTTTTCACTTTGACTTCTTAAGTCACTAACAATGGGCTCTACCCTGGTTAACGAGGCACCAAGAGAAGCTTTAACAAAATAAAAGCAAGTTTGGAATTTTTTTTTTTTGTAGGAGTACTGCTATTTATTCAGCCACTGATTAGCTGATTGAATTGTGCATGAACTCCACAAGTTTGGAATCTTGGGCCCCTCGGTTTAGTAAAAGAATCTTGATTCTTTGGTTTACTGTAGGAATTCCCACAGCGGGCAATCGTATTGCTGGCTTCTTAAGCAGTTGTGGCTATGTTAACTATGGCTCGCATTTAACAAACAGTATAATTAAAATTATTTAAAAAATGGCATAGTCCTATTTTGAACATAGAACAAGATGTCAAGAACAAGAACATTTCAGAGATGTCAGAAATCAGTGCTCATACCTGGTTCTGCTCACTCTCCTGGTTTTTAATTTATAAACTTGAAAACACTTTGTCATCTTGAGGGAATTACATAACTAGATGCTAGTTATGCATGTTTCAGAAACAGTAATTCTGCAGTAGGAATCACTGTTCCTGAAAAATGTTCCTTTGGATTAATAGTGTGGGAGTAAGCAAGTCATTGACAAAAGAATGGTTTGAAAACAAGATTGTGAGGTGCTGTCTACTTGGTACATCTGCGCCTTCTAAGTGGGGTCACAATTTGCTTTCAAGCATGCAAAGTCAATTGTTACTGGTTACCTTAGCAGCAGGAAGGCCATAGGAGACAATGGCTATTGAATATGGCCATCCTACACAGTCTTTTTTGACTTCCTCTGGGATTCTGTTCACACTTCCAGAATGATGTTTTCCACACTCTAAGTTGGTTGGCCACATGTCTGTCTTCTAAGTTTACCAGGAGAACTGTTTTAAGAGTTTGGAACACAGAAGCACTGTGCAATGTGCAACACAAAAAAGTTTTCCTTTAAATTGAGCGTTTGCCACAATTGCCACTCAATGTCTCTTTTGCAAACCACAACACCCAAAAGGAGAGAGAGAACAGAGGGGAATGCCCTGCCACAGAGACAGGATGGGATGGGGGGATTGGGGGGCGGGAGGGATACCGGTATCGGTGGTGGTGGGAAATGGGCACTGGTGGAGGGATGGGTATTTGATCATTGTATAATTGAAACCCAAGCACAAAAATGTGTAAGTCTGCAACTGTACCTCATGATGTCTCACTATTAAAAAATTTTTAATAAAAAAAATAATAAATAAATAAATAAATAAATTGAGCATTTGCTCAATTAGATATGCACAGGCATTAGTTCACAGAGCCCAACATCCTGTTCACAAAGAACAGCTGTAGTAGCGGGCATTCCTGGGGCCTGTATTTTAACATAGTCATAGCTTTTCTTCACACACATATAGCAAGCAATACCTGTAAATCAACCCTTTAGCAAGTACATATAGGCAAAACTATGGAAACTGATAGTTCTGCCTCTCCAGAAGTATTTTCCTGAGCGAAACAAGCTCCTTCATAGAGCTCATTTTCTGCAAAAATGGGGCAAGTATAATAATAATAAAATTAGTTCTTGTCTAGAGTACTAAAACCCAGTTAACACACACACATATATATATTCTAACATTATATGTGTATTTATAGATTTATATGTGTATATACACTGCTAATATATTGTGGTCAAGTGTATTTTAATAAATTATCCAGTTACATAGGTTTCTTGAGAATTTTTTTGCATACAAACGTCAGGTTTTAATTATTTTTATTTTTAATTATTTTTCCGTTTTTTAAGCTTTTTAATTGAATCACAGTGACATACACATTTACAAAATTGTTCATAATTGGATTTTGGTCATATAGTGTTCCAACACCTGTCCCTTCACCAGTGAACTTTTTCCACCAGCAATGGTCCCAGTTTCCCTCCCACCCCTCATCTCCCCTCCCCATCCCACCACCTGCCACTATCGCTAGCACTTTTCTACTTTTCTTCTCTCTCTCTCTCTCTCTCTCTCTCTCTCTCTCTCTCTCTCTCTCTCTCTCTCTCTCTCTCGCTCTCCCCTCCTTTCGGGGCCTTATGGTTTGCAATACAGATAATGAAAGGTTATCAAGTAAATCCCTTTACCTGTGCGCTTCACCCACACACTCTTGTGGCAAGCTTCCAACCATTGACCTATCTACCTGGCCCCTGTTTACCCTCCCCTTGGATATTATTCCCACAGCGGGTAGGGCGTTCGCCTTACAAGCGGCCAACATGGCCGACCCGAGTTCGATTCCTCTGCCTCTCTCGGAGAGCCCGGCAAGCTACCGAGAGTATTCGATATGCCAGACACAGTAACAACAAAGTCTCCAATGGAGATGTTACTGGGCCCGCTCGAGCAAATATATATTACATATATTATATATTAATATATACAATGCTAATCTATGCTAGTATTATATTAGCGTATATTTCTATAAAATATATAATTATATATATATGCAGTCATTCTTTACTTGTCTCTTTGCTTCTGACTCATTTCACTCAACATGATACCCTTTGAGAATTTTTTTAAACAGTCTAAAATAGTTCATGATAAAAACAAAAAATTTAAAACACTTGTTTTCTGAGCACAATAATTGGATATAAGACACTGGCATTTTCCTGCAACTTCTCTTAGGATTTGGATTTGCTTTTAATATTTTATGCTTCATCATATATTAATAGCTTTATATTTGAACTGCTTGAATAGTGCCCTCTCGTCTAGTAGAGTTAACCCTAAAGACAAAATCTAAGTGTCCAATTTCTTTTAAGAAGCTAGAGTCCTAACATGAAAACAGTTATAATCAATACAAGTGTTGGCATAATACATTTATAGGTAGTTCTCAAAAGTATTATTACAGATTAGCAGTATCCAATAATGAAATTTGATTTACCTGTAGTTTATTAAAACTGACAACATTGTACTTTTACATGTGTTCCTATGATGTAATTACACTTTCTAGGTTTTCCAATGGAAAATATACTTACGTAAGTTTTTCAAATCTAATTTATAAAAGACCATTTTCTGATCTGCTTTTTCATGATTTACACAGTAGTTTCCCTTAATGAATTATATTCACACCAACAAAAATTTTTGTGACATTATAAAACTTAATAAACAAGAAGAAAGAGACAATTATTTTTCAAGTCAGATTTGGGCAAGTATTTTCTCAAATGGTAGATCTCAGGGAGGAGGCATTTTATAGGGGTGATTGATATAAATTGGTTTGTATATGAAAACAATTCTACCAGTTGCAAAGTTTTCAGTTTTTCATCCCTGTATCAAGGTAAGTAAGAGTCAAGCCAAGAGAATGAGTTTAGAAGATTAAGTACGCATCAAGTTCATTTCCAGCTCCAAAGAGCATACAATTTTTTTTCTCTTTTATTCCCTTCCTTAAGAGTTTCATGTTAGTTGTAGTTTGAAATATAAAGTCACAGACACTTAGAGCTGAGCACGTAGGGGAGGACCAAATTTATGGGGACCATCTAGAATATACTCTAAACCTTTTGGAAATATATTTAAGGTGAATTTCATTCCAGTCCTTTGATTCTTTCTGAATTGAGTGGAACAACTGCAGCTTTAAGCAAACATTTACTTGGGTCCATCTAAAATATTTATTTCTTTAACCCCATTTTCTGCTTGGTCTCCCACTTTTGCACAGTATAGGGGGTTTTTTTTATTTACATTGTCTAATTCAGGCAATTAGAATATAGGCACCTCTGGACGGAGC